AGTTTTTGTTTGAACAAAATATTTTTGTTCAAAAAACACCGCTGCTTTCATTTTAATTCATCTGATGATGAAAATAAGATACTTTTAATGTTTAACTGCCAAGTTACTTAATGCAGATGGTTTTGCAATGACAAGCCGAACCAAATACGATGTGAATTCAAACTCAATAAACAGACATTTCGAAAATAAAAAATAATAATAAATAACGTCATTACTCGCTACGTTTATTTCCGTCCTGTATTACGTAATTTCGGTTTTATTTGACGAAATTTTGTTGCATCACGGGAGTGCGTTGACACTTGACACTCACAACGCTCGTTGAATATTTCATCCTTGTTCATCAAATGTTAAGCAAGGATAATACTCGTGAGCATTGCGAGCGTCAAATAGAACGCACCCTGATCGTCAAATTGCATCAGCGAAAATTGCATTCCGCGTCAAATGGGCAACATTCCTCGGATCGTTACGGAGAAATGAATGAAATGTACCGGGATAATATTTTCAAAACGTGCCCTTTATTAGTTGATAGTAAACGATAACCCAGTATAAACGACAAACGATCGATCGACATATCCAGTAATTAGAAAGCAACACCACCCACGCGACGACGTATCGCGATCGAGGAAGACGAAGACCGGTATTTGTGGTCAATTTTTATATTTAAGACTGTGTCCTAAGTACAGTCTTGAGATACGAGCTAATCACAGAGCAATGTATTTCAAGGCTGTATTTAAAAAGTTGTCTATACAATGGGAGTAATATGGAGTACTTTCCATTTGATGACACGTCTCGACACAAATGTCGTTCATCTTTGTCACTCTTTGAATGTCAAGAAGGATAGAAGGATAGAAGGACGCTTGTATCGAAACTTGTGTTATCAAATGGAAAGCACCCATGGTGTAGTAAATTGTGTATAAGAAATGTGCATAAGAAATCGACCAATCGCAGTCAAACGTGAGAACGATCTGTGATTGGTCAACTTCTAACAGCTGACGGTGTACTACACAATAATACTTCCATTGTAGATGGTCCATAAAGAGTCGTTTGTCTACAATAGATCTGTTCGCGCTGTATGTACTTTTTGCACTCTGTATCTCCGCGCTTTCTCTCTCTTCAACGCCACATATATATATTTATCTCCTTTTAGCGGAAAAATTTTCAAGCAATATCAACAAACCTACTGGTAATAATATGGTGTAGTAAATTATAACAGTAAGGAATCGAATAATCACAATAAAAAATTAGAATTGACTACGATCGATCAATTTCTTCAAGTTTAATGCTCACAATATTCCTCCCATTGTAGACAGCCAATAATAAGACCACCTTAAACACAAGAAGGGAATATCGGCGATTCATTTGAAATTCGCAATTCTCGCGCCTCCTCGATCGGGCCGTCCGATGCGGAATCATACGATTCCGCGTCCCGTCGACGCGACGGGGAGCTTAAGTCAGCGAATAAACGCGACGGCACGCACGATCGATGGACAGCCGCGCGGTCGCGACGAACGTAAATACGATAAAAACAAGCTCGGCCGCGCGAGTATCGATGACAATCGTCGCGTCGATCGCGGGGCGATCGCTCAGGGACGGACGGACGGGGAAACAACAAACGAACGGCGTAACGGCGAACGGATACTACGTCTTCGGCTTGTGTCAGTTGGAACATTTGGAGGCTCGTCCGCACCAAGTCGGAAGTTTGCACCGACCGCTCTGTGGTTCGCGGCAAAAATTGATTCTCGATTTACAGCGGGTCGCCGGGTCCGCTGCGGGGCTAAGTAATCTCCCGCCGAAACGATCCCGGGCAGTGAGAGAGAAAGAGAGAGAGAAAGGTACGACCCGGAACGCGAGGCAAGCCGGTCGGTCACGTTTGAAAATTATCCGCGTACGATACGCGACGAAATTCGAAAAATCAGCCGTCCCACGGGGACGTTTCTGAAAGGTTCAGCGTGGCGTGGGTAGAGCGAGGTACGCGGCATCGCGACGCGTATGTAACGACGTATCCGGGCACGCGACGTGCCGTGGAAAAGCGCTTCGCCGGCCGCGGTGTCGAGACCGTCGAGAGTCGGCCGGACTTTTCGCGCCACAACCATGATGATTTAACCTGCAAAGCCGCGAGAGCGCACGAGATGGAGAATGCGAGGAGGTCCTGAACGAGATGCCATCGAGGAAAACACGCGTTACTGTCCAGGGAAATCGATCCTCCACCGACGTACGTTAGCCGCGTCGAAACGTCTCACACGACTCACCTGCAGGCCGGCCCTAGCCGAACGCGAGACCGCCTTCGCCTTTGCCTTGCCAGAGTCCTTGCCCGCCTTACCGCCAGCCTGTTCGGACACGAAAATCACAGGTTAATTCGCAAGATCCAGCCGCGAAACTCCGCCAGTCGACGAAGGAGGGTCCGCGGCGTGCGGGGACGCCGACGGTAGGCACGGATGGCCGTCGTGCGCGTCAAAAACTCGCGGATACTCACCATTGCGCGACGTGGATATTCGACACTTCACACAGCACGAAAGACTTACGAGCAGCCACGAACGACGCCGTCTAAACGCGACGAGCCCGCCAAATGCGCTTGGCGCTGCGGGCGCGT